GCGGCAAATCGATTACCCAAAATCGTTCCTAACGCCCGTCTCCCATCAAGAAGGTATGCATACTAGCTATATATGAAGTTGGAGGGTAATGATACAGTGAGTTAAATGATAATAATGAGATCTCCAATAATAGAAAGCAGGTTCGACGATTACTTTCTTCATTGGTTCAAAAGTAACCGCAACCAGTATTAGCTCACTACTAGTAAACGGCTCCAAAATGATCCACGACTGGATATGGAGACAAAAAAATCGATCATAGTATTCAAGTAACAACTTTGGCGGAGAGAACGGGATCCGCTGCCGTCGGTAATTTCTACACACACCATTACGACAGATTTCCTTCGACTTTCGCGAAACCCGATTTTTTTGAGTAACTGCACTTACCGAATGGACTCCTATAATGAACCAAGTCGAACGAGGCTAATAATGTTGCTATCCACCATACAACAACTAGTAGACCGAGGGTTGTCATGAATATTAGCTGAAATAATGAAATTGCTATTGAATTTACCAAAAAAGACAGTGTAAGACGGTTCACAATGTTTATCGACCACTCCGGAACACACCATACATTTGATCTCGATGTATTAGTTTGTTTGGAAGGTACCTGCCAAAAAATTGGCTACTGTTTAGACTTTTCTGGAAAGTTCCAGAGGAATTCTTGAGAGACCACTGTAAGGGGACACTCTACCTGTATGCGCATAACATATTTGGCTCGTCTTTCCTTGGTAATTTAACCCAAAAAATACCAAACTGCTTCCCCTCACGCACTTCTCAACGAGTTCGGGTCATTTCAATTCCTCCTGAGGCCCACTGAAACTACAGCCATTCGATCTCAAAGTGCCTTCTGAATGATTCTGTGCAATCCTCGTTCCAACCCTCTGAAACAGAAAACAAAAAAGTCGAACGATCTTGATCTGGTCCATCGACTGCGCTATCACAGAATCTCTGGATCTTTCACAAGGGTGACGAATTATGGAAAAAAATTCGGTAAAAATTATCCAAGTAAGTAGTAAGCATTTAAGTTATCCAGACCGAAATTTTGTTTATAACAGCAGAATCGCAGTAGTGTATTGATTCGTATGTATCCTATAGAATGACTTGTAATGGCTAGCTGATG